TGTCTTCCTACCTTCTTCCCCCGAATACAACATAAGGTCCTAACGACCGTACGTATTTGAAGCGTCTTTCGGTCTAAATACAGCTATAATGACCGTGCGTTGTATTCGGGGGAAGAAGGTAGCGCTTCTGGGACATTCTAGAGATGGCTCCACCCATTTGCCATCGTCTATGTTCAAGGAGTCATAAAAAAAAATAGGAGTCATCGTCAGGATTAAGATGGCGTCGAAACACGAAAAACCAGTTTTCCTCCCGAAATCAGTTCAAATAGGAACGACAATGCAGAGAAGAAGAGAAGATTACTAGTGTGGCCCCGGCACAAGGACGACACAAACGAATCACACAAAGGATCCAGTTAATACCGGGAAAAAAAAAAGAAAAAGAAAAAAAACAGTTCTCTAGGATTTTTCTAGAAGTGTCTAGCGAAACCCGTACGCGCGCCAATACTTTATTGACTTGTAGTTTGTGTGTTTGACTGTAGTTTGTGTGTTTGACTGTAGTTCGTGTGTTTGTGTGTTTGACTTGTTAAAATGATTTTGAATTTCGTTTGTGAATTGATGCTTAGGAAGAAAAAAAATATGAAATCGACTTTTCTGAAGGGGTGTGGCAGAGACACGTGTGTTAGACATGCATCTGCACATGTTTGCATCTGGGTCATCAGCAGCTTAAGCCAAACGAAGGTGAGCCCTACGGGTGGCACTCCGTGGCTGGCATTCCAGAAAGCCCCACCAGCACGGCAGGCATGCAGATAAAATATAAGTCCCCACCCTTGCACCCATCACATGGTTGTCCGCTTGGCGCTGCAGCTGCCCGCCCGCTTATGGTGACCTTGCCGTGCATTCCCGTACTACGCATGATCATGCTCTATCTGGCCCGCATGATGGCCAGATTCCTTCAGAAAAGTCTTGAAGTCCCACCGGTGTGGCATCCTGCAAAGTCCGATACCACTCCCCTATTGTGGCGATCGTGTGGCCGCCCGCCCGCTCGACGCTGCAGCAGACGGGCAGGTAAGCTGACCCCGATAGGTTCGCTAAGAAAATTCTTCATGGGACCCGCGCCATTTCAGAATTTTGAATTTCTCCACTTCCAGGACGCGAGCCCTGACTCACCATTTCAATTTATTTCTGGACTGCATACGGCCAGCTACTGATCCTGGGTCTGCATGAACTGCCCGCCCCACTTAAATGCCCCTGCCTGCAATTTGAACAGCCTTTCAACGACCAATTAGTGGCCTAATATAACGAACGACGAAAATGCCCTACGGGTGTATAAACACATCCCCTACGGTCTGCGAACAAAACGCATCCAACGGTTATTACCCTGCGGGCACATTCAGACTCTTTCGATGTGCATGCCCCCAGGTGGCAGGTCCCCCTAACAAAGGACACTGCAAGCCCCAAGGAGATAGAATTTTTTCCCAAATTTGATTCTTTCCCAGGGTGTTGTAGAGGCCAGTTACAAGGCCCATGGTGGTTACGTGAACAGTCAGCCATGGCTGTCCTGAGAAGACGAGGCCACCTCCCATCCCGTCATCTCGCATCAATACTCCTACCACACCCACACCCCCTATCGCTGCTATCCTACCTCAGTGTGACCAGCACACTCAGGACCATTAATAATATCGAGGTTCTTGTTTTCGTCTTAAACATTCCAAGCTGCTGAAACATCTCCTCCCCGCCCCAGCCTTGCAGTCCAAACCTTGTCGCCACAAGAAAAAGAGGCCGAAATGTCAGACGCTGGGCCTGCCATTGATATATTTGGATCGGCGGTCGCTTTTTCGTTGCACGCCTCCGGAATTCAAGGTGCCAGGCCCGCGGCCAGCCCAGGTAACCGCGTACTGCTGGTGCTTTAAACCACTAGTTAGCTTTGCCGAGTGGGAAAATAGCAGGCCTCGGGTGAGCCTCCGACCTTTTAGGAGGCCGAAACGAAACAACGGCCGCCGATGAGGTTTATCAATGGCAGCCGTCGTCGGGCCCGGTCTACTAGTACCTTTGCCGAGTGGGAAAATAGCAGGCAGGCCTCGGGTGAGCCTCCGACCTTTTCGGAGGCCGAAATGAAACATCGGCCGCCGATGAGATTTTTCAATGGCAGACGTCTGTCGTCGGGGCCGGCCTCCAAACTCTTCGGGAACTGGCGCTTTCCCTAATTTCCCAACACTGGCGGAGGTACTATTTAGTGCTTCAACAAATGACCTTGTACGCCCAAAGGACGGGGGTAATCAATTAAAAATTTCCGATTTTTCCTTCTCCAATTACAGCTACATCCTTAAACCACCAGTACCTTTGTCAGCTACAGATGCCGAGCCTAATATCGCCCTGCACGCCAAAAAAATACCAACCGGCGAGGGACTCATTTTGGCCGGCTCCGCCAGCCATTATGGTCCAGCAGCACCGTAACTTTGCCGGATGCCGAGATACGGGGTTGGTTGGTGTTCCCCTGTATCCCCCGTACTATACATAGATTAGCGAGAGGATGAGATAGATGAGTAGTAGCAAGACGATGCGATAGATGAGAGGAAAAAAAAAACAAAAAAACAAAAAAAAAAACAAACAAAAAACGTTGCCCGATGGCGAGTGGTGCAACTAGTAGGCAGAATGGCTGTACGATCCCTTTTTCGTTTTTTTTTTGCAAAACAATTCCTTCGTAAAAAGGGCCCAGTTTGTCCTTAGGGACATCCGTCAAAATTGGAACGATACAGAGAAGGGTCATTAGCATGGCCCCTGTGCGAGAAAAAAGAGAAAAAAATAAGAAGGGCCCAGTGTCTAAGGCTAGGTACAATTTTCAGATTTTTTCAGACTTTTCCTGAATTTTAGCCTATCTCCTGGGGTTCTTCATCGAATAGGCTAGTAATTGATCATGATCCTATTTTCAGACAAAGCCGGGCAAAAAGCCCCGGTATCTCAAAGTTTTTTCTGTATATGTTCTCAAACATGTTTCATGTTCAAATGGGACGCGGGGCCCTGTTCCCAGCACGTGCGGCTCCCCACGAATAGATTGGAGGATTGTTCCAAAAAAAAAAAGGCTAGGTACATCGCATTACAGCAGGGAAGGCAATCCTCGGCACTCAACCTAGGGCCGAAACACTCCCTGTCTGAACGCTAGTTGCAATCAATTGCTGCTCCCCCCCTCTCCCCCAAATAGGAAAAAAAATGGACCGTTTCTCCATTTATGCGTGTCATCCTTGCACAGGGGCAGT